GGAAGACAGGGTGGAAGACAGGGTGGAACACATACCTTCGCCAGATGTCAAAGTCACGGACATGGAAGTCGGCCAAGGGCGATACGGAGTGCAGCCCTGTTTTTTTTTGGCGGCGGAGCGTTCAAATTCGAAATCTTCGCGCCTCCCTGTCCAATGGCATCTCGCAAAGATGCAGGCCCCGCAGGAGGGCAAATCGGACAGGCACCACGTGAAATGGGACCGCAGGTCCGGTAGGTGAACTACGAAAAGATGGGCCCCTCACTGACAGGGGCCTGCACGAAAGTTCAGAGACCCCAGGGGCAAATCAGAAAACCTCGGCCGTCCGAGGGCAAATCGCCAATTACCGGAAATTTCAGGGGCATTTTGCAAATTTTCCCAAAAAACAAACTATGTTATGCAGAAAGGCAAAAAAAATGAATTTGAGAGAAGAATGTAGTGTAATTTGAGAGGACTGGGTGCTGTTGGGCTCCCTCCTAATTTTTTTTAATTTTTTTTCTGTTGTTCGGCTCCCTCCTAACTCAAGCAGGGAACTCCAAAGTCCGGGAGCATGGTCCCACTAGCAACGGGATAGGATAGAAACGAGTTTGTGTGCAGTTGAGTGACCCAAATCCTTCCCTGCAGTACTCGTGATCCCATGGTCAGTATTTCACATTTATTTTATTACCCGACAAAGTAAGGACACCTTCGTTCCCCTCCTCCTCTCCTTAACACTGGGCTCCCTCTTAACTCAAGCAGGGAACTCCAGATTCCAGAAATTGCCATTGCATAGCTGTACTAATCAGGTCCATAATTTGCTGGTCATTTTGGAAGAGAGGAACAGTGTACCTTTGCAAAGGAAAGGAAAATTTGTGTCAGATCCAGCACTGAAGGCTAAGTCTCTAAAACAAACACAATATATATTTTTCAAATTGCAATCAAGAGTGACTGGCACGGCAGGCAGGGTAGTCAGTTCCAAAAATAAGTTTATTGGAATTCAGTGGTTCAGGAAAACATGGGCTACCTTCTTTCCCCGAATACAACGTACGGTCATTATAGCTGAATTTAGATGTCTAAATTCAGCTATAATGAGCGTACGTTGTATTCGGGGGAAGACTGTAGGAACGACAAATTTGCTCAAATCATCGCCGCGAAGCGGGTAGTAGCGGATTGGCTATTTAAGGCCTCGTTAAGTTCCTCGGAGTTTCACCGACTCAATATATATATATCGTCACAAACAGAACTGCCCGGTAAACCGTAGGCAGAGAGAGAGAAGAGGACAACAAACGAGGGGCTGTGACGAACTGTTTCGTCGGAGTTTCACCGACTCATCAGGAGGCTGAACCCTCAACAGTCTGCAGAATCCCCTCACTGATTACACTGTAAATGATAATCTACCTTAACCAAAATCAAAGTAGACTATCACTCACCCACATATATATATCCGGCAAGTGGTTGCAGGCCAATCTGGTAGCCTCAGTCTGATTCATCCAATACGTCACCGCACATGAATGCACGGACAAACGCATGTGCAGTGCAGGACGCAGTAAGAGCTGTACGTCTACAGTCCTTCACGTGCATGTCCACAGTCCCTCGTACATGCACACCTGCAAGAGAGGGGGGCTTGTACAGCCCGCGCGTGTGCAA